ACATACCAAAAGTTATTAGTATATTTGAAGCATTTAAATTAGGAATGTGGCACAATTAAGCTGTAAAGCGTTTTTCTTCTTTTTCACTTGTGTGCATATGACTATTCAATATAAATGTAAAGCATATTTATGCGTATGTATGGAAGAATTAAGCGAGTCAACACACTTTACAAGAATTTCGTCTGACATATCTTCCCTTTCCTTTTTTTGTGGTTCTCCCCATGCATACGCGCTAACGTAGGCATGTAGTACCTTCCTTTTGTCCCCGTGGCGTGGCATACACGTATACGGAGCGGGCTAAACGACTCGCCTAAAGCGCGCTGGTGAACAAGCCAATATATATGCCCCAATTTGTTCGCAAAATTACGCGTATAAACTACCCCCTTAAAAAGGGACATTGTACGTGAGCGGGAAGAAGTACTAATTATGCAGTTTTTACAGTACACCTGAAGCAGCACAATAAGAATATTTAAACATTTTGAAACGTTTCACGGCATATCGCCGCGACGTTTCTTTCCCTCGTCACACTTATTTTCTTCGCTTTAGAGGGATATAAATTTCTAGCCACAATTTTTACCACTTGAAGAGGATAGCCCATTAGAAGAACAAATTTACCACACGTGTTAACTGTACAATTACTACTCAGCGAGGGGGGAATGAAATGGGAGCACGGACGGCAATTCGTGATGTTATATTTGAAGTAAAAGGCGCATGCTACACATAGAAGTTTTTTTCTTTTTTTGAAACCCTTTCGTTTTCGTACGAACAGTTGTAAGATTTTGCCTGTACAGGATAATCTGCATTCATTCTTTTGTTATCTATTTGTAGAGACACAAACACAGAAAGAGGGCCCCCGTTTAAGGTGTTCCATGGCGATTACGAATTTGGAGAAGACCATCATCAAAAATGTACTTTCCCCCAGGAAAGGGAAAACAAAAAAAAAACAAAAACATATTAATTTTGTTCCCTCAGTATAAATCAAAAACAGGAGGAACAACATTTCAGGGTTATTCTTCCTCATAAGGGGAAAAAAATATCTTTGCATATTCAGGCATATATATTTTTTTTTTCCGCAGCGTATGATTTATTAATTCAACATCTGCGCGCTATGCGTACCATTTTGTGAAGCCTGCTTGGTGTTTTCAACTGAAAGTGAAGTAGCGCGCGTGGTGGCAGTTTAGCCGTAAATTTTAAATATAACACGTGCGTAAATATATGAGCACATCGGATTTGCACATGCTGATACGCTGAGGCCCCCCCAGCGCACGCCCCGAATTTTGCTTCTCCGCCACGTAAAGAAGACCCCTCCAACACCACTTAATGCGTACAACGGAAACTAAAACAGAAAAGGGAAAAAATGAAGGCTGAAAAGGATGACCCCTTTCATGAAGCAAAACAGTATGGAAATAAAAATATTATATATGTGTGTACCTGTACACACGTTAAATAAAAAGACAAATAAAGTACCACTTTGCAAATATTATTTATTTTTTTTTTTTTCATCTCTCACATTTGAACAAAACGCACACTCTACATAAATGTACACGTGGAAGGAGACCAAAACTGTTGTACCTATCTGTGCGACAATAATTCATTATGTGGACACATTGTACAACTCTCTTTTAGCGAAGTGGACGTCTCAGTGCAGAAGCTGCAAAGTCTATACAACAACTGGAGTAGCATCCCGGACAAGAATTCAATGTGAAACATTTAATCATTTTGCAGCATAATTGCTCACAATGAAGCCAAAAGAAAAAGAAAAAAAAAGCATATGCACACACTTCCTTCGTTTTGCTGACGAAGCGTAATTCTCATGGGTTCTTCCACACGTATGCTCCATTTCAATAGAGTAGCTTTAAGAACCCATTTAAAAGGCAAATTCAAATTTGTTCCCCTTCAGCCTGGCCAAGGAGAAATACTCCCTGATAAAGGAAGAAATAAAATATCTTAACGAAGACTTAGATGATCTGGACAACTCCGTCAATGTTGTGAAAAAGAATTTATTCAAATTTAATATTAGCAATGAGGAGTTGGAAAACCGAGCCAGTTCGCTGAAAAATATTCGAACCGTCCTGAATGATATCGCCAGCAATTTGACGTACAAGGTTAGAGGAGGAAAAAAAAACCCACGTAATCGACGATAAAAATGAAGAATCTTTTGTGCGTGAAACGCAACCTTTATGTTTCCCCTTTATTTTTTGTGGCAGGTTTTAAACTACACTGGAGACATCAAGGGGGAATACGACGCAGTAATGCATTAAATAAAAAAAAAAAAAAAAAAAGCGAAAAGGCGAAAAAGGAAGGAATGGAGAGTGGGAGATAGCTGATTCGCCAATAAATATATGTACGCTGTCCGAAAACCGTCGATATAACTCCACATTACATAATTTTGAAAAAAATAGAGAGAATAAACCTTTTATGCCCCAATACATATACCTGTATGCACTCTTCTTTTGCGTGTGTATATCCAGGTTGTGCTCAAAAGGCAAGATAACGATTTGGACGAACTAGCCGAATCAGCGGAGCGCCTGCACAACGCCGCCATTACCATCAATACAGAGTTGAAGGATCAACAAAAGTATAAAAAATGTGAAAAGGAAATATTTCTCACTCTCGTACTTTCTTTTTGTTCGAAACGCCTTTTATATTATCCTCCCCATCACCCCCATTTATGCAGGCTGCTTGACGAGTTGGAAAACGAAATGGATTACTCAAGTGAGCCAAAAAGCAGAAGCACATTTGTACATACCTCTCGTACATGGCGAATAAGTGCGCTTTTGCTTCTGCCCTAGGCAGACTTCATTTCACTTTGATCACTTGCCCCCTCCTTCTCAGATGAAAAAATGAACTTTGTGACGAAAAAAATTGCAGATTATTTAAAGACAAATAGTAAGTGCAGAAAAGAGGAGGTATTAAATATATTACAAGAGTCATTTTACAAAAAGCGCGTTCGGGGGAATGCCACCCCTTATGCCGTGCAACACATCGATCTATGCTGAGCTCGTAATGAGAATCCTCCCGTTTTCCGTTTCCCGTTTTTGCAGATCCGAAAATGCTATCCCTAATAGTCTACCTCACGCTTATCTCATTTTTTTTGTTATTTGTCCTCGTGGTTTCCTGATGGGATAGTTCGTTGTTCGAAAGGACATCGACTTCCTACGAGCATGTAATAAGTACATATTTGTATACAACATGCATGGCTCCTGGGTATGTTCCGCATGTGACACTTCACCTGGGTGCGTTCTGACGAAGGATAACAACCTCGTTTTTATTTTAAAACAACTTATAATTTTATCAAACAATTTCTCGAGTTGATGAAAAAGGATACCAATTTTTCTTTAAAAAAGGAACGAATGCGTAAAACGCGTGGGCAGCCCCTCAAAACGTGTGCTACATCTACCACTTCAATTTGGACACATGCACATGTGCTTATATACCCATTTGTGTGAATCCTTATAACTCTCTTGACAAGATCCTATGTAAGGCACTTCCCCCCTTCGGGGTAATATACTTGACAAAAGCAAAAAAAAAAAGTTTTACAATTCAACCGTGCGGAGAAGGAACACATAGTTCAATGTTTATGGAAACACAACTTCTTTACAAAGTAGTATGTGTGTACTTATACACATGTGTGTTGAATCCAAATTATGGTGGCAGTTGAGTAAAGGAGATGTGAATGTTGGCTGAATGCCGGAACAAATTTAAGGGAGAGCGGATGGAGTGGCGCGCGGTGTTCCGTTTTCCAGGAGTATGCCGTACGCTTGCGCGAGCAGGAACGGGTAAACGTAAGCACACGCAGGTTTAGGCCAGAGTACAATATAAACACAGACACGAAGGTGAACGGGACAGCGGGGGCTCTTTGATTGGCACATGTGCAGCCTAGCGTAATGACCATAATTGTCACTTACCCCGGGGGCATCCTTTAAAACGTCGGCCACGCTACAAACTGCTGCACAGATAGGAAAACTGTTTTTTCCTTTTTTTTTTTTTTTTTAAAACATTTAATGGGTAAATTAATGACCCGTTTATCGGTGGTCGTGGTAACGGGCTCTATCGGGGTGCACGTTTTTATACATGCTCTTGTGGAAGATGTTTCCCCCTTTGTTGTTAGTGGGTCCGTTCCCACTGTGATCATTGTGCTTGTGGTGCGTTACGTTACTGTTGTGAACGCTGTAATTTCCGTGGTCCCCTTTGCCCTGGCTGCGTTTGGGATAGTCATGAGAGTGTTGATCATTCGGATGTCTGCTGTACATTTTGTGTGAGTTATTTTTATTCACATGTAAGTTAACATTTGGCTCCATGGCAGAACTACTTCTTGGATTACTAAAATGAGCACTCGAGGCGCTCGAGAATTTGTGTAGACCTGACCTAGAACTATAAATTTGCCCACTCGTGTATCCCTTGGCGCCGTCATTGGTCCCATTATATAGGTTATAGTAACTGCCTGGATGATTCCTTCCGTTGTTTCTGTTGTCCTGACCCCTGCCATCATTGTTATAGTAATCGCCAATGTTACTGTCATGAATGTACCTGTTCTTATTGTGATGTCTACTGCTGTACTGATCGCTATCTCTATTTCTATTACCATGTTTCCCGCCGTGTGGGTAGAATTCACTTATGTTGTCATGCTTGTCATTGCCTACCTGTTGCTTATTTTTGTAATCATAGTAACTACTGCTTTGGTGGGGATCATTTTTGTGTCTTTTATTATTCGAGTGGAAATTATTTTGGCTATCTGGATCGTACGTATCGTAATTCCTCTTCGGCTTGTTCCTTTCTGCATTATCGTTAAAAGAGTACTTTGCGAGGATTACCTTACGTCTCCTGCTGTCATATGAATGCTTGTCTCCTATCATGTACACGTTGTGATTGCTGCTAAAATTGCTTGCGTCTGTGTGTGGGCTGTATAGGTCAGCGCCGACTCGTTCCTGGTTTGCTGTGGCTTGGCTATTCTCTCCGCTATATCTGTTATTGTGTCGGTTTTCCTGTTCGTCCCCACGTCGGTAGACACCTCCATTGGCACCACTGCTTGTGCTCTGACCGGAGTGATAGTGCACATTTCGCAGGGCATTATTATCACCGTCACTGTTACCCTTCCACTCATTTGTCTTCGGTTCATGTAAAATCCATATACTTCTTGGATTTCTCAAATAGACATAATAGGATGGATCAAGCTTGCTGTTATATTCCCTCCTAACATTGTGCGTGTGCTTGGCATAAATGTACGGAGGCCTTCCACATTTCAGATGGTCATTAGAGAAACAGTTTAAGCAGGAAATACTTTTGTACGGATAGTGAATATATTTTAAGTCATTTATAAGCTTTCGTGCATTCGCTTTGAATGCGACATACTGTGCCTTGGTGTTGTGGCAAATCGGTCCACTCACCCGCTTATAGCATAGGAAGCAGTATGTATTTTTACACACATGTCTGAAGGTTAACTCTCTGTCGCAATCACTAGATCCGCAGTTCTGACATGTGTACTTTTTTTCTTTATACAATTCGCTTTGGAAGTAGAAGTGGAAAAACAAATTTTCGGAATTTATGTCTGGGAATTTTACTAGCCAATTTTTTATTTTTTCTCGAAAATCGTCTACCACGGGGTAGGACATGGAATCGTCTGGGCAATTTTCTTGACACGTTTGTAGACATCTTTCTGCAGAAAATTCTGCACTTTCGTCCCTCGCCCCTTTTGGAGTGCCCCCCTCCGCGTTTTCGATGAGCACTGGGGAGGCTTCCTCCGCCTGTACGTTTTTTTCTTCTATTTCGGCAGTTCCCACTTGGTCAATTGAGTCGATCCCAGTATTTTCTACACCCGCATCGGTGGCATCATATTCTTTACTCCCCTCGACATCAACATTTTCCCCCTTCACTTCTCTCGCATCGTTTTTTTCGCTCTCTTCGTTCACAGCAACTACACGTTCCGATGGGTGGCTGGCCCCCCTCCGCGGGGTCTCCCTTCCCAAAACCACGTCCAGAAAACTGTCATAATCCCCCGGTGGATCTTCGCCAACCAGATTTGGGTCATAGTAATATCTGATGTTGGCCTCATTTTGCCTACTCTTTTTGTTTCTCTCCTGAGAGGCAGATGAAATGATGAGATAAATTTTATCTTTCCTCAATTTCAGTAATTTCTTTTCTTTCCTTTCCAATTTATGCTCCTTAAAAGAATTTGGTTCCAAATGTTCGGAGTCCTCGATTAAAATATTATCGTTTTGAAAACTGGTCAAAATATGGGCTCGAATTTTCTTCCTCATATTTTCATAGTCGTTAATTTCATTTTCGTTTAATTCTTCCAGCATATCGAAACTATCGTTTGTGCTGATTTGGTCCATTTCCAGTGTTATGACTTCATCTTCTTCGAAGCTACAGTGGTTATGATTGTTGTCGTTCTTATTGGTGTTGCTTCCGTTGTTTTCGTCGTATTCCTCATCTGGGGGCACTGTAAGTCCCTCCCTATCCCCCTCGAAATTCCAAAACTGATTTTTTTCTGTACTTGTATTTAGGCGAACATTTTCGTCTGGATTTATATTTATTGTAAAAAGATTATCCATTAAAAGGTGTTTTTTTTTTTTATTTATTTTTCCGTCCTATAACGGCGTGCTTTGTGGAGCCTCGGATATTCGCGCAAGGTGTTTTCTTGTAAGAGTGATATTATCTTGTCTCTCCTATTATCTGTTTTCCTTTTTACTTCCCTTTTGTGTTAACTCACCCCATTTATTGCGCTGTGTGCATTGATGTCCACTACCCCCTTTTGGAAAAAAAAGCTTGCGGGAGGTGTGTACAATTAGGGTGTTGCACTACAAGTGGATTCTCACATGTATATAGTGGAACGCTCTCCTATGCATATGCGTCGTAGAGCCACTGTTTGTTTTTTCTCAGTCTGGAAGAATTTTGGCACCCCTTTGACCCTTTTTCTTTTGCTCTCTTTCCATTACAAAAGGAGCCAAAAGGGGTCGAGGGGAACAAATGTCATTTTATTCAACGTAGCAGCGGGGGGGAATTGGGGGAATGGGCAAAATTGTTCAGGTTAAACAGAAAAAAAGCCAAGTCAGCAGAAGGAAAAAAAAACGCGGTACGTTACAAAAACATGAGCAGAAGCTGTAGGTCAACCAAACGTAAAACAAACAGTGCAAGTTAGCCAAACATAAACAAGCGCTGCCAGTTAACCAGTTTTTGCGCAGCTTTCATTTTTCACTTTCATGTTTCACTCTGGTTGGCGGAATTGCGTATTTTGTCTCCCCTTATTCACGCGAACATTAAGTTAAAAAACAATATTGCAGTTTTGCCTCGCATGAATGCAGTATTCCTTTCTCGCGATGTAACAATAACTATTGCAGAACATTTTAAAAAAAAAAAAATGCAAACTCTTTAGTTTGAAAAAAATTATTCCCATAAAGGTGCAAATGATAGGAGCAAAATAGAAAAGCAGCATAATAAAAACGCAGAAGCTTGGCACCCAAAAAAAAAAAAAAGAAAAAGAAATACCAATAACGCCATTACCATTCTGTACAATAATAAGCGCTTGTTATGTTACAGATATACGCATTTCCTCATTTTTGGAAAACAACCCAACGTTGCTAAATGTAGGTCCAAGGAGAAAAAAAATTCACCAAAAACAAGAAAACACCCTTATTATAGTGTGACTTGTCATATAAAGTGTGCTATCCGTCATGCTTGCAATTTTTTCGTTCGTTAGCCTGGACGGGGAAGGCACGTAACAGGACATACTTCCACTTCATGAATGCAACTGTTAGTCACTTTTGCTTCCTGCCGTGCCATACCGGTCATGTGGGTATGTTTTACTATGTTAAAAAAAAGACCACAACTCGTTTAGTCAGACGTTACAAAAACTTCAAAAGGCATCATAACAAATGGGAGTGTGTTCTTTTTCATCTTAAGAGGGTGCACACATTTGATCATTATGCTTACGTCCCCTTTGTAATGAAATGAAAGACCAACACGGTTATTTTGTGAGGTATTAGGAGAGAAAAAAAAAGAAAAATATTTTCCATTCTGCTCATAAGCCATACAGATGTCACAATGCTCAGACCGGGGACGAACCACCCCCTTTTTGGGAACAAGTTTTATTCATCTCTCTGCTCAATTTTGTGTTTAAATATACATAACCTATTGGTAAGAAAAATTATGCTTTTCTTTCTGTCCCATTGTTTTGGTCCATATCATATCTCAAAAGGCGTAAAGAAGCGGAAGTAGAATAAAATAAAGCCAAGTTAAACATACTCAGGTCTTTCCTACCCTGCAGTAAGCGAAACCTAACTTTGCTTCAAGTTTTAGGAAATGCAGCTACGCTAGGCCTATAGATGGCCTAAAAGATAATCACCCCCGATAAATTATTCTCTCACTTGAATACTAATGTATATGGTGGTTCTTTCTTTGCTGATTTTGTTAGCGCAACATTTTAAAAGTCAAACCTGGTTTCAGTATTGTCACCTCCAAATTGGTTCCTAGATATGTGAGAATAATTCACAAAAAAAGGGTAAAATGAGCAGATATACTTTCATGCATGTATGCGCACGTGTATGCAAGATGTTCCGCGCAACTCTCGTGAGCGGCTCCATCGGCGCAATCGTGTAAACGTGCTGCAATGGCACGTTTTCTCGTCGAATCGCTTACCCCCCTTCAAAAAAAAAAAAAAAAAAAAATATCATAACAATGTAAGATGTAAAAAGGTTACTGAAGCAAACCTGAAAACATGTTAATCTTAAAAACAAAAATGAGCGCAACGATTTAAGGAAGGGCAACTGTACCATGTATGTGTAGCCCTGAGCAGAAAAAAGGGAAAACCTTTGAAGATGTGATGGAGCACATGACTGCACATATGTGATTGCACAACTGGCTGATTAATGCACTGGAATGTAGAGAACGTAGCTGCAGCCCCCGTTGGAGTGAAACATTTGCTGCTCGAGGATCCAAAGTACGCAAGCGCAGATACGGGAAAGTGACGTTCACTGAACATATCCCCCGTTTTACCTTACGTGCGCTGCATGTGTATTCCTGCAAAGTTGCATCCGCTTGAGCAAGTACCGCCGATATCGACGCCGTTGAAGAAGTAGAGGTAGTAGGAGTATATTCCCCCCGCTGCGCGTAATTTCTCCTTGATAAAAGATGAACATTGTGCTGTACCTAATTTGTATCCTTATATACATAGCTTACGATGGAAGTAAGGCAAAAGTGCACTGTAAAAGACAAAATGACGTAAACACGGTGAAGAAGACCTACTCGTACAGCCTATTGAAGGGTAAAGTACAGGATCGAAATGCACACCATCGGAATTTTGTACTTTATAAGAGACGAGCTCTGTTCCATATACGCATCCCGAGAAAGAACCTGGAGAAGCACAACCTATTCAGCAATGATCTCCGTTATAAAAAAATTAACAACTTTTTGGAAAATAAAAAGACAAACAAGTTGTGTTATTTACATATAAGTAATAACAATGATGGAATAAAAAAAAAGAGGATTAGAAACAGAACTTTGCAACTCTTGTTTGAAAAAAAAAAGTTGCTACAAGAATATTTTTACAACTTAAAATCATCCTTTATGGATAGGTATAAAAGCACAAGAATTGTAACGAAGCTTTTTTTATCGTCGTCTTTGCTGATGCTAACCCTTAACCTCATTGGAGTAAAACCAGAAGACATCGCTCTACACGATAAAAGAATAATCAGAGCATTTGAATTTTACAGAATTGTAACATCAGCATTGTTTTATGGTGACATATCACTATACGTGTTAACAAATGTTTATATGTTATATGTACAGAGTCGAGAGTTGGAAAAGTCCGTTGGCTCATCTGAAACGCTGGCTTTTTATTTGTCCCAAATTTCTATCCTCTCCATAATTTGCTCCTATTTAAAGAAGCCCTTCTATTCAACAGCACTGCTGAAATCGCTTCTCTTTGTAAACTGTATGTTAAATCCTTATCAGAAATCTAACTTAATTTTTGGGATAAATATTTACAATATTTACTTACCCTATTTCTCCATCTTTATTGATATTTTGTATGCACAAGATTTGAAAGCTTCCCTGTCGGGGATACTGGGGGTGACTAGTGGGTCCATTTACTACCTTCTGAATATTTACGCGCATCAAAAATTCAACAGAAGGTTTTTCCTAATTCCGCGTTTTTTGAGAAATTATCTCGATTCGGTGAGCATGGACGATGTGTTCTAGTTCATCGTTGTGGAGGTGTGTGCACTTTTTTGGGGGGAGAGGGGTGTAAAATATGAATAATTTCGCATTCCCCATGTTGTACTGTGATTTTTATTCCACCTTTACCTCTTTGTTTTCCCTTTTTTTCAGTGAGTTTCTCAATTTTTTTTCAGTAAAATATGTTTTTTTCTCTTCCTCTCCCATGAGGATTTCCCCTTGCATATGTGTATTCTAGTATACATTATGCACTGCACCTCCTTCTCGCTAAAATGATTTACTGTGGTAATTAAATGGGAAAAGACAAACTCGATGGTGCTCTTCACCAACTTTGTTTTTAATATACACATTGGAAGAAGCAGAGTAAATGTCGCCACTTAGAAGTGCTATCCGCTTCTTGATTAGAAAACATAGTCCCATCACATGATTATAAAAAAAGACATTTCCTACTATAGTGCCATTTGCTGGGTCGCCACTATTTCCGGAGTCATCACCTTTTGCGCAACCCTTATGGAAGATTACACTAAATTGTTGTTCATAGTTAATGGCACGTTCCAAACTTTTCGACGCATTTTTCAACAGAAAAAAAGTTGGCTTCAATAAACTCCTATCATTAATTCCTTTTACGTACTTGTTAAAAGACGAATCAGCCAAAATAGTTTTGTTTAAATTGTCGAAACTCTCCAGGAACATTTCGAGATAGTCGTAGTTTACACACATCGTCAGTTGGTACTTATTTATAAATATTTCGTTCCTTGTTCTGTTTATTGCTTCTTGACCTACGTAGCATCCTTTGTCTTTGGCCAAATAGTTTAACTTATCGTAGTTCAGGTCGAAGGGGGACAGATCTTTAAATTTGAATGCGTCCCTGTCGATGTTCCGCTTCGCGACATCCGCTGCGTCGGACGCACGGGACTCACGATTAACGGACGAACCATGGGAACCGCTCCGGGCTTCATCTGTGCTTTCCCCAAAAAGCGGATCGTTCGAATACAGATTTTCTACGATTCCTAAATTCAGCTTCATATAGTCATACAGGAAAGTGGCGGGCAGGTTTATCTTTTCTTCTTTTTCAAAACTGAGTAGCATTTCACAGGCCTCCTTTCTATTCCCTTTGCTAAGCTGGTCGATCCCCTCGCTTGGTGCTTTACTCCAGGGGGAATTTACAAAGTCTGTTGTCATGATTATGCCTGTGCCTTTGTCCATTTTTTCGTCTACCAGCTTCTGCCCCTTTCCCCTCATTTGGTACATTCTATATCCTAAGATCTCATTTCTTGCATCCTTGGACATGAACAATATTCCTGAATCATTGGAAAGAGTAGAAAGTTCGTCCTCCAGTTGGGTATCGCTATCTCCACCGCTGCCCATCGCGTCGGTTGTGGAGATCCCCCCTCGGAGGGCGGACGCACCTGACAGGATCTGATAAACTGCGATGTTGGCCATTTCGCTCAAGTGAACATCACATGAGAGCTTGCGCTTTTCCAATATGCTAAGCAACATTCTGGAGGCTTTCACATTGCAGTCCATGTAAAAGAGGCTAAAGGTATTCTCTTCATGGGTATATTTTACATTGTATAAAAAACAGTCAGCCAATATTTTGCCATTGTTTTGCAAAAATAGGGAAGGCAATCCCTTCGTCCATTTTTTGTGGTTTACATTATGGGCACACAGTTGATACGCACTTGTACCATCCGGGCTGAATAATAAATTTTTGGGGACATTTTTATATAAAGAGAAATCCTTTTCGGTTATTATTTTATTTAAATCGTTGGTTGTCAGGCTTTGCAGAAATCTGAAAGAGTCTGTTCCACAAATTTGCACCAGCGTCCTATTTTTTAATCTACACACGAGGTACTTATTCATTGAATTAAGTTTTGTTATATGCCAAAAAATGGATGCGACTGTTTTGTTCGTTGTTTTTTTTTTTTTTTTTTTGCGAGTGTTGTGCTAGCTATGGCTATGTAAATAAATGTTCCTCCTTTCAAAAGATGCTACAAAATAGTTCCCTTTTTTAACGCTGAGGTTGCATTAATTTTTCTCAGTAACGCCGATAGAAAAAAGAGTGGGTATGTATTCAACAGACCAAATGGCGGCAGCTTCGGTTTTTTCTCGCAACAGCTGCATTTTTAAGAATTGCAAAGTTGTGCAAGATACGCGGCGTGCGCAGCAGTTTCTGGCCACGTACGATGGCTGACAGGTCCGCTCACATAACACGCACGCGCGAGCCCCCATTGCGGGCTTAAAAAACGCACGAACTGCGCGAATGGCGTGAAATTCGTGAGATGCGTGAAATGCACGATCTGCACAAACACTAGTCAAGGTGATCTCTTGTTAAAGGAAATACAGGAAGAAGAAAGTAGCGAATATTCCTTTTTCTTCCTTTTTAATGTTGTAAAAAAATCACAAAAAAAAATGTGGGCAAAAATAAACCTTCAGAAATAGGCACAAAATGGATATGTTATATATACGCAGCGCAAAAACACACACATAAGCAGTTTTGACCCACCGTTCATGCTATGTCAACTTGTCAATTCTACATCTCGCTGATTTTACGAGCCATTTGACTGCCTTCACAACGTATGACAGTTTGACCTTATTCTGATTTTTTCTTTTTATTCCTTTTTTCCTTTTTTCACTTTTTTTTCCTCTTTTCCCTTTTTTTTCCAATCCCCTTTGCGGATGTGCAGATTGCTTCTCACCATGTGAACGTCGTCCCTTTTGGCATACATCTGTGTAGGCCCTCGCCCCGCTTTGGACTCATGGCCATTGCGACGAGGGTGCTCCTGCTTAGCAGCTGTATCATCTGCCTGGTGGAAGAAGAAGCTGTCAAATTTTTTACTCGGCGGAATTGTTACCGAGTTAATGGTCGTTAAATTCTTTTTGCACATTTGAATAAAATTATTTAACAAGTCAGTGTTCATTTTTTTAAAAAAAGGGTTCTCCGAAATGACAATATTTTTTAAATAATTCAGTTCACATAAATGGCTAAGAATTTCTGCGTCCAGAATGAAATTATTTTGTATATAAAACTGTTTTAACGCTGTCATGTATACGACATCCCTCTGGACATGTGTTAATTTGTTACTGTTTAATCGTAACTCTTGTACATTTGAAAAATGGGAACCAAAACAAAATTCTCTCATTCTGTTAAATGAGACGGAAATTTTTTTTAAGTGTGTCATAACTTTGGTTGGTTTTGCAAACGTCTCAATTTTATTGTTCTTTAAAATGAGTGTCTCCAAATTTTGGAGATTTGCTAAATTGGGAACTTTCTCAATCTCGTTATAAGCTAATATTAACGTTTTCAAATTTGTCAATTCGCACACCCCATCCATTATTTTGATTTTATTGTTGGACAAATTTAGGTACACTAAGTTGTTTATGTTGCTTAAGTAATTTATGTTGTCTATTAAATTGTATTGTAAAACGATTTGTTGTAAATTTAAGTTCATTTCGAGCATGGACAGATCTTTTATTTTGTTTTCACTCAAGTCTATTTTTTGCAAATTTTTCATTTGATATAATTCTTCACATTCTTCTATGTCTCTGTTTTTTATAATTAGTTCACTGCAATTTGATACATCTCCATTTTTGATCATAGAGGATATCTTTAGTATCGTCAAATTTGTTATTATTTCTTCGTCGTTTCCTCTCTTCTCATCGCATTGCTGCTTTTCCATTTTGTTTCCATAAAAATTGTGAGGATGGTGAAGAGATTCTCAGTGTAGTTGGTTATGTCTAGGAATGTAGCTCCAACAGCGGCATCATTGGAGTCGCAAAAAAAAAAAAAATTAAAAAAAAAGAAAAAAAACAAGCAAACAAACAAGCGAACAACCTTAAAAGAATTAGCGCAAATGAAGCCTCCCAATTTGAACCCCTCCGTTTTACATCACAAAATAGTTGATCCCCTTTTGGAACATTCCCATTTTTGTTATCTACATAAAAAAGAATGCTAAAACTGCTGCTCCTGCGTTCAACGTGATGGAGAAGCATATGCAGCTTTCTCAACTCGGTTAAGGAATCAATCGCCTTCGAGACCATGTATCGCCTAAGATTCCAGGAGCGTGAATTCAAAACGGCTAAAACAAAATTGTTCATCAATTTTTAATCTTCAAAATGGGCATCCAAAGGGGAAGATGTTTCAAAATGTATGCAAATAAATATACATGCACCGGATTTCCGCAAAGTGGAAAAAAAAAGAAGCCACCTCGATCTCGCTTTGCAATTTTTATTTGATCAATGTCGTGAGTTGTTTTTACCTTTGGTAAAAATGTAAAGAAGCTTTAAAAGAACTGTTTTTTATTGGCCAAAAAAAAAAAAAAAAAAAAGGAAAAATTTAAATGGAACCATATAAAGGGGAGGTGGAAAAATAAAATCACTCCAAAAGGTAACGGTAAGAACAAACGCAGAAGCCCGAGGCACGGGCGAACAAATTAAAACCCAACCACAAAAAGTGCTGCAAAATCGATGCCCAACACGGAAGCAGTGGCGGCAACGGCTGCGGTGGAATGAAGACCCCAGTGCGTCACAAGTACGCAAATTTGTTAATTACCGAAAAGGTGCACCAACGGAGAGGAGGACCAATGGGCTGAAAAAAATGGGAGAAATATCAAAATGTAGAAATGTCGGAATGCCGAGACCCCCAATTGAACAGTGTGGCGGAAAGAAAATTCCCTTGTCGCGCCGCCCCTCCGTTTCCTTCCTACATACATATAGCCACGTCGCACGGGGAGGTGGGTAGTAAGCCAAAAAATTGAAAAAGAAAAACACATCCAACACCAGAGACAAACGTGTGGGCACCCACTGAGCACCTGGGCGAAGCTTTCTCCAACGCGCCCACGGAGATGAAGAGGCCACCACTCTACATCTGTATTCGGGCGTATGATATGTAGTGGTAACTTCCCGACGCATGCTTGTGCATTTTTTGGACGGCTAGTTTATGATTCTGTTCCTTCTTTGGATTATTTTTCATTTCCAACATTTTTTGTTCTGCATTTTGGATAATTTTCTTTTTCATGGTCTTCCTTCTTTTGAAAATATATTTCAGTTTGCGAATTCCCTTTAGTGACAAAAATTTCTTCCACATGTTTTTAAAGACACCCTTGAGTGCCATATCAATTCTTTGCAGAACTTTAAACTCTGATTTTAAAACATTCCATAGGGCTAGACCGGCCATGGGTGCAAATAGGTAGGGTCCAATTGATGCGAAGAGCCCAACAGAGAAAACACTCTTCATGCAAGCTTGTGTCGAGCTAGTTAAAGTTGCTTTAACCGCTTGTTGGACGCATACTTGTTTAGGTGGAGGGATAGTAGATGTGTAACAACTGGTGATAGGTCCCATTCCGATGTCAGTAGCGTGCTGAGTTATATCCATTGCGCTGAGTATAGTGTATGCAGATAAAGTGCCCAGAGTCATGAACCCTAGTATTTCTTTCATCCTACTTTTTTCTCTTTCCCTTTGCCATTTTCCTATGAAGTGACCAAAATATGGAGCTTGTGCGTAGAACATTTGGCTTAAGTAAGGCAATTGCATTTCGCTAAAAACGATTTTGGTTAATTTGAGAGAGAAGGCAGACGATAGGGAGACTCCATTTTTCATGGCCTTCAATTCTTTCTTCATAGATTTCGGTAGCAACACATCGAAGTAGTGCAGGACAGCATCCCCTCCAAGGATCATTTTAAAATTGTTTACAAAATTCTGGTCATCAATTTTGTTGCCAAAGGAATTCTTAGAAAATTTAGATTCATAAGAATGTAAACTTTCTGGATTCTTCAAATGTTGCAAAGCAAAAGTTGAAATCGTTTTCCACAAAGCAGAACAATGATCTGCGCACATCGAATTTTGTAATTCTTTCATTCTGTCTTCATTATTTAACGCGACATATGCCGGGTTGAGAGCCACCATTCCAGGGTTTCTAACCACACTAAACGGTTCACGTAGACGTTGTTCTGAGCTAATTTGCACTACATGGTCGACAATTTCGATGAAGGCTTCATTAATCAGCCAGGATTCATCCTCATTACGTAGAAGCTTATGCAGTTCTGCCACTTTTTCTAATAACATCATTGCCTTTTTGATGTTGATGGTAGCTCCAAACCAAATGGCATGTTCAACTTTAAAACTTGGTTTTCGCAGGAGCATATTTCCAAGGGAAATAATTTTTTTGAAAAATTTTCGAAACGCTGTTTGTTTCGTTGGCTTGACCGTTCTGGAGAACATGATATTGTCTTCGATGTTACTTTCTAGTAGGTGCTTACTATCTTCAACAACTTTGTATATGAAGGAATCCTTCATATATGCATTGTCCGAAAGCTCTAGCCATATTCCTAAAGCCTTTGCGAATTCTTTATTTAGGTAGTGATCCCACTTGTCATTTTGATTAAAAATTAATTTGTTCTCTTGCTTTTCTCTTTCCTGTTCTTCATTTAATTCTTTTTGCTCCTGCTGTAATTTCTCCTGCTCCGTGATTTCTTCGCTTGAACTGCTGTCATTGTTTGTCTCCTTCAGTTCCCTCTCAACTGAATGTTCCATTTTTTGACTTTCAATTTTTTCTCTTTTGTACTCTTCGAACCCTTTGTCGAACCACGTGGACATCAAATTGTCGGCATACTTTGCGAATCCCCCCTCCGTAAACACCTGTTTGGCTAGCTCCACATTTCGGTTTTGATAAAAGTTTAAATTTTTTGGGATAAATTTCGCGTTTTGAATAATTTCTCTAGAAGCGATTGTATGTGTGGTAAACCGGATGGTCGTCAAGATGTTTTCTAGTAGATTTTCAGGAATGTGTTGCAAGAGTTTCATCTTGGCAAGCGCGATTAGCAATCTCTTTTTTAGGAGTCCCTTTTTCATGGTTATCACAAGCCTTCGGAGTTTATGTGGTATTAAAGCCGATGTGGAAGTTGCAAACCTCTCAGTCATTGTTGCACTTAGCATTTTCTTCTTCTCAGCGTAGTAAGTCCTGACTGGGTCTTTTCTCGAAAGGGCTGACATTATAAACAAGTTCACATAGAATAAGTTTTCAGATTTAGCTATGTCGTTTAAAAACCTTAAATTATTTCCTCGCACGATAAATTTTAGTGGGGTGCTTGTTAACGACTGCAATTCTTCTAGTGTCTTCTTCATGGAGTCTAAATTAGACTTGGGAGATTTGGACAGGATACTATTTAAGTACAAATGATGGCGTACGGTAGACACATCGTTTAGAAAGAACTTTCTAACTTTTTCGCTTTTCCTAACAATTTTGGCATATTTGTCCACAAGGGCGTAGAAAACTAATACTGCTTTACTTCTGGCATTGTACTTGGCATCGATTTTGATCAGTTTATCTTTTAATTCCTTTCCTCTCTTGATAAACTCATCGTAGACAAATTTGATCTTGCTTTTTCTTTTCGTTGACCCAACGTTTCTATTTTGTATGCTTATTAATTCTCTATTATCATACCAGAACAGGTACTTATAAAGATCCGTATACAAGTTCGGCTCAAGAATGAGGCTTATATAATGAGGATTGGGATCTTTCTGGTAGGACGAATTTTCTATTTCGGCAAAGATTCGTAACATATCAAAGGCTCTTTTTAAGCTTCTCTGGTTTTCTTTATGCGCTTCGTCCTCTTTTAGGATTTTAGGGTTATACAGCGTGGACTTCTCAAAATCGCAGCTGAGGGTATTCTTGGTATCATCCCTTGGACATACCTGTGAGAATATCCTCAATCCATTGTGCGAAAACGAGACGGAGTTTTCATAACCGTACGCCTCACTGCTGTTAAAGACCTTCTGTATTTCGTGTATATTTATCAAAGTATATGCATTTAGAATCAATTCTAGCAAATCGCAAGTTACTTTCCTTTCCCCCACATAGGTAGTGTGTCTACCACGTCTAGATTCGATCGGGACGAAGGTTATGTCTCTATTGAAGCTTTGCTTGGGGTGGTAATACACGTTGCACATTTCGTTGTACATGAAGAAGCTCCAATCCGAGTTACCTATCAGCATGGTTTCTAACGAATAAAAAGGTTTCAATCCGTGCACAAAGTAGTGATTGTACGAAAGGTAAGCTAAGGATAGAACCAGCAGGTGACCCATTAGATATATATTAGAAGAAGCCGCTATATAAATTTCGTAGTTTAGACCCACAGAGGAGGATGTCATTTTGCTGTATTTTCTCCTAACCGGTTCGATTAGTTCCCCTAAGGCGAAATTATGGTAGTATAGTCTCTCTAACTGATTTGTTCCAGGGTTGTTGACAAATACATGACAAAGGTATTGTGTTAAAATTTTGTTATACTTTGCATTTAACGGTTGCATCTCTTCATTTCGAAACGAGTTAGCCTGTGAGATGAAGTTTTCATCTTCGTATGCGTCTCGCCCCAAGTTAGTATTTTTTCTATTCATAGAGTTATAAATGGCTTTTAAAATATTATTGTAATTGTTAGATCCCATTGATTTTCTTTTTTGCAACTCGTTAATCATTTCGCTTCTTAATTCTTCCAACGCTCTGGAATACTCAAAGGAAAGGTTTAGGAAATCGCCTTTTTTTTGTAGAGGTTCATTAAGACGGCAATATTTATCTACCTCTTGTGAGAATTTAGGTCCTATCATTTTTTGTAATTCTATTTCATTGGAGCTCAGCGTATCTCTTTTATCTAAATTCATGTAATTCGAAAAGTGGTAATTTACAGGCCCTTTTTGTTTTTTGTATCTTATGTTCAATCCTTCCTCTGACATATCTTCTGTTCCTTCCGAATTGGACATCTTCTCCTTAATTACCATATCTTGTCCGTTGTCGACGTAAAAGACGGTGGAAGCATTTACATCTGATTCGTTCGAGTCTGATTCAGATCCGTCCGATTTCTGTCCTTTTTTTCCGTTGGACTTCTTCATTCTAGAATATTCCCCTTTATTCAGGTTTTCCTCAATTTCCTTTGCTCTGCGTTTAGCATGCGTGTTGTCATTCTTCCCGGTGATAGGAGTAAATCGGCTTTCATAATTATTATAATTGTTGCCGGATCTTGTGTTGTGTGTTCCGTATTTTCCCATGTCGCTGCCGGTCATCGTGGAGAATCCGCTCCCATTTGTTCTTTTCACGTATAGATTTTCCTCACTGTCCTCCGACGCTGCACCTCTTTTATCCTTAGGTGTTAATCTTTTAACGCCACCTTCCTTTAACTGATACTCAGTTAAAAGAGAATCGTTATCTGAATCGTGGGAGGAATTGTAGCCTCTATGTCTTTCCCCTGGATTCATTTGCACCATTCCGTTTTTTCTCATCCCCTGGTGTGTGTTGCCGTCCTCATGGGAGCTATGGTCACTCGCTTGTTTATCGCTATCATTGTTAGGGTCATTTACCCCGTGTTTCACATGATATACTACTGGGTTGTTAATTCCATTTCCGCCGTAAACTCCCTGTCCGTCACCTGCATTAACAGGCCGTAACCCATGAATGTAGTTTAAGTTTGGGTAATTAATTTTTCCATTGTTTTTACTGTGATATGTCCCTGCGCCGTTTGCACTTCCTAGGTCGTTTTTCCCGTATCCTCCTTGTCCGTGTTCGCCTTGCGTGTTACCATTTTTCCCATGATCTAATCCATAAGTTGTCGTTCCGCTTTCTGTATTTTCATCTGGATACTCGACATAGTATGGAGTTCCGTTTTCCTCATGCTTTTCTGATCCAGTATTTTTTTCATACCCTCCATGATAAGAAGGATTTGTTTTGTTTGCCCCTTCTTCGCCCGATCCACCTCCGTTTCCTGTTCCACTGCCATTTGTTCCGTAATGTACACTGTAGGTTGTCTCTCCAACTCCGTTATGCCCCATGGGTCCAGATGGATTTTGCGCTTCAGTTCCACTTCCATTTTGTCCATCCGCCTCCGTACCATTTTTCCCATCGGACCCTTTACTCTTTCCGTAGTCTCCTTCCCCTGTAGCTACTCCATTTTCCCCATGGTGCACGCCATAAGTTGCCGATTCATGCCCATAGGCACCTGCCCCCTTTGCGTCCCCAGGTGTGAAGTGGTTTGTAAAATAATTTGGATATCCGTCCATGCCATTTTTTCCGTCATGACCTCCTTTACCATCTCCAAAGTTTACATGTAAATGTGTTCTGTATGTTTGGTTTGTTCCTCCATTGTCATATCCACCATGGTATACACTTCCTGCCGTACCATCAGGCCCGTAGCCCTTACCATCGGCTCCACCGTAAGGTCCGTAGCCCTTTCCATCAGATCCACCATAAGCTCCATAACCCTTCCCATCAGCGCCGCCGTACTGTCCATAGCCCTTCCCGTCAGCGCCGCTGTACGGCCCGTGACCATTTCCTCCAGCGCCATGCTCATGATAATACTCATATGGAGGTGCGGTATGAGTTAACCCCCCGCTTGGTGTGCCAACTAAATGGTAAGGCCCATTTCCGAACTCATCATAAAACCCCGGGCCTCTATTTTTTGCATTAGTGCTTGTGGGACCTGACTGAGGGTGTGATATTTCATATTTCGTGTTGGTTAAAGAAGCCTGTCCTGTTTGATCATTCCCAAATTTATTTCCCCCCTCCTGAGCTCTCTTCATATCAGCCTTTCTTTGATTGTTTATCCTTTCTTCCTCTTCTTCTTCTTGTTTTCTAATTCTTTCATATTCATCTCTTAAAGCGTCTTCTTGCTTTTTGTTGAACCCAGCATTTCGTTGCTGTCCTTTATTCGAGTTATCACCATGAGGCAGGTCATTATTCGTCCCTTGCCCGGAATTTCCTTTATAGTTACTTGATGCTGTCCCTGAATGGGATACTACTCCATATCCTCTATTAAATCCTCCTGTTGAATTCTCTGCATCAGTTGTTGAACCTAAATGTGTTCCTACATTGGAGCTCGTGTCCGATTTCCCATCTTTTTTACTTCCATTGGGATCATTGTATCCTTTGTGTTCTTCCTGTTCCTGTCCAGGCATATAAAAAATAACTTTGGTTTTTTCGTGTGGAGTATAAGTTGGGCTATGCGTTTCCAAATGCTGTTTTCCATCTCGTGCAGTCCCTTTTGCCTTATTTGTACTTATAGAATCAATGCGTGCGAATATGAGCAAAATTAAAAAAATAATTTTTAACATTTTATTTTGCTTTTGCGATCATAAAGGGGAGGCAAATGCAGGGACAAAATAAGACAAAATAAAAGGAAACGATGTGAAGCCAGAGCGGGAATCAAACAAGGTGGGACGATATAACTAAAGGTAATGAACAGTTCTATTGGGGATGAACAAACGGGTTGCGCTTAAATTTGAGGTGGGGTGAAAATTCACGTCATTAATTTTTGCGAATCGGACACATTGTAGGGAACGTTGCGTCGATTTGCAGTTGCGTAGCGCATGCCGATGTGTATGTCTACGTGTTTGTCTACGCGCATATCTATACGGACGCCTAAACACTCAGCTGCGCTTTTATTTTCACTATCATATTCAACAGATGAATGTATGGAGTCAATTGATTTGGCTGCGAAAAACTATTAAATCCTCACAAAAATTAGAGACTTAAAAACTAAATTCGGGTAGGTTATAGAATTGGCATGGACGAGCATGCGTGTACATCTTATATCTGGACAAATATGCAACTGCGTATTTTTTTTTTCAATTTCGTTTTTGATTTTAAACGGACAAAAGAAAAACCGAGCTCCTACATGCGCAAAAAAAAGAAAAAATCAAAAACAAGAAGAGAAAACAAAACAAAAAAAGCAAAGGAAGCAAAAGAAAAAAACAAAGCAGAAAGGAAAAAAACTAAAGATCTGCGCAGAAACGTAAAAGTGTTCTAAAATGAAAACAGTTTATTGTCGCAAATCACTTAGCATATTTCTAACTTGTTCACATATAAGCTACGAAAAAACGCACGATTGCGTTAAAATACCCCCCTAGGATAACGTGCACGTGTGTTCCATCATACAGAAAAAACTGCGCGACGTAGAAATAAAAAGATGGAAAACGAAAATTCAATGCGTCTGCAGTGGTTGTTAATTTAATTTTTCATTCGTCTGTCCATTTGTCTGCCCATCCATTTGTGTATTTTTTTTTTTCTTCACCCTTACGACACAATTGAACAAATGCATATACATTTTAGACAATTTCCTTTTTAAATGTTCTATTTCGTCCTGAGATGCCGCAGTTGACCGTTTGCACAGTGGTGCACAATTGTAATTTAAAAAATAAAAAAAATTGGAATAGTTGTATACACCACATGTCTACTTTCCGCCATACACAAGCGTCAATTTGTTTATTTTATTTATTTTTTTTATTATTTCTTTTGATACACTTTTCGGCATATGTTTCTGAATTGGTCCGAAAAATTCAGCAAAGAATTTGCAGCAAATATTGCTGCGTGTGGGTATGTATTGGTATGTCATTTTTCAGAAAGGCAAAAAAAAATTTAGAATTAATATTTAAAAATGCACATACAGAAAAGAGTGTCAGCGTGGCCATGTGGCAGTGTGGTATTGTTACAATGTTACAATGTGGGGAGCTGCTTTGTACTGCAACACAAAAAAGGGTAGATTTTTTCTTCACTGCATTTCCACTTAGTTGCACTTTGGTTTGTATTTGTTTTTTTTTCTTTTTTTTTTATCTGCTAAACAGTTTCGTAAAACGGGAATATGTCAAATTTTAAAAGAGGAAAAAGTTTTACGTACCACTGAAAGAGGAAGCAAAATGTGATAAAGGTACATATTACATGTGTTACCCCCCGCTCCCCTAAATTTGAAAATGTATTTAAAGTTTTTCCCGTTAATAGCACAATATGTACTTACTAACTGTTGATCATGTCGGGATGTTTTTTCCCGCCGGTCAAAATGGTAATCATCATTAAATTAAACAGGCATACTTTTTTCTTTTTTTTTTTAACAGTTTTTTTTGCGGTTGGTTTAACGGACATGTTTAATTTTCGTTTAACTGTAAGCCGCACGTTTGCGTTTTTCTTTACCTAACAGCTATTTTTTAACTGCCAACACAACGTGATACGGTTGCGGAATGAAATTCCTTTTTATCTGCAATGAAGAGGTATTTCTCTCCACTCTGCTTCTTGGCAACACGGTGTTGTTTCCTCCTTATAAACTAATGCTCACGTGAAACTTCACCTCCCTTTAGCTTTCCGTACACCTTAACTTTTTCGCATGTTCGTAGGAGAATACGGAACAACTGCACAGCAGTTGCGTTATTGACAGGGGTTGTAAAACAACAGGGCGAACTTTTCTTTTTATATGCGAGGGATATTCTGGCAGTTTTTTTCGGTTTTTTCGGTTTTTCCATTCTTCCATTTTTCCTGTTTTTTAAATACTTCAAATTTGTAGCATTGGCCCATTTCATAACAATTTCCTATTTTTCTTAAATTTTCACAACTGGGAACCCGCTGAGAGAAATGAAAAAAATGCGTAGCACGGCAGTGTTGTGTACAGTATGCTGCATATGCCTGCTCATTTTATGCATTCATTTGTCAATCCCCACCCCGCCCTAACGACGCAACTTCCCTTCTTATGGTTTCCATCCATTTAGTATGCAGAACGAGGAACAAAGGTAAGGAGTAAATATTTGCACGTGATGAGGAATAAATTTTGAAGGTTCACGGAATCTCTGGGATTTATATATATTTATTTTTTTCCCCCGGTTTCCTTTTTACATGAAAGTGAAAAAAAAAGTGCTATATTGTTGCCGTGGGCGGCACTCAACTAAATGGTAAAAATACAAAGGCGGCACGTTTTTTTTTTATAAATTTAAATTTTTTAACTCTTTTTATCCTACAACTGATTTATTTTTATTCATACATTTTTCCAAAAGTGAACTGCAATTTTTTTTAAGTTTTTATGACCGCTATCTTTCCCTTATGCAACTCGCCGTCGTAGGTAATAGGAAAAGGGAATAGATGTTACGTGCGTACGTTTGTATACGTAAAAAGGGGCGCCTTATTAATATACCATTTTAATGAGTATTGTTTCCCCACTTGTTCATATTTTACGTTTGTTGAGGTGGTCACTTTGGAGGCCTTTTTACGTATGGCTTTTCCATCCATTTTGCTGTAAACATTAGTGAAGAAGCTTGCCTTTCTTGCCTGCACTGCTGCCAAAAATTTAGCCAGCAAAAATACAACAGGGGATATAGAACACACGGACAGGGGCAACTGTGTCCACATATGTATGCTATCGCGTGACCCATATGTACCTAAGACCGTAGCGAAACTATCGACTGCCGCATTTTTCCCGTTGCTGTTTTTCCGCTTTTGTGGGTGGGAAATTCATAGCCCGCTGATGCTTCGAAAAAAGAAAGGCCCCAAAAAAAAAAAAAACATTTTCACCATTTTAAATATATTAAACTAAACAATGAAGCACAGGTCGCATTTGAAACAGCAGAATAAGCATTTTAAAAAGTTAAAGAACCATAAGAAGAATAATAAGAGTGCGAAAAATTTGCAAAAGAAGAAAAAGAAAAATTTAATCCAAAAGTACAGCAGCATATTACATCGGGCACTTCAGTCCCATAATAGCAAAGTGAGCAACATAAAGAGTGAACTGGAGGAAAAAGCAAAGTATATACCTTTCTATAACTGCTTAAACATCTGCCTGTTAGGGTTCCACGAAGACTCTGATGTACTATCATTTAAGAAAGAGTTTATAAAATATCTGTGTGAAAAAAATGGAGATAATGTCATAACGGACACTATAAATTTGTACGATATATATACAGTACACGCAGAAAAAAAAAAAAAAAGATCGCTTGTAATTTATGACGTTCCGAGAGACATTTACGGAATTATAGATGGAACAAAATGTGCAGACATCGTCTTGTGTATATTTAAGGATGGGGCAATTGAAAATTCAGCGTTCGACGAATTGGGTTACAACCTTTTGTCGCTTTTAAAAATACAAGGTGTTCCTTCCGTCATTGGGGTGGGCTATAATACGAACGAAAGCAGCAAATATTCTGAAAAATTCGTGACTAGATATTTCAATTCGGAGTTTACGCAACATGATAAGATATTTTTCATCAACAGTAATGGTGGCAGCACTGACCGATTAAGCAAGAACGGAGATTTTTACAAACTGTACAGCGAAATTATGAATATGAAAGTACGAACCGTTTCTTATCGAGAGGGCAGGGGTTACATGATGGTCAATTCTTATGCGTACAATCAGCAGACAGACTCCCTTTATTTGAAGGGTTTTGTCAAAGGGGTAGGGTTTAATGCCCATAACCCTATACACATAACAAACGCGGGTGACTATTACATTGATGATATATTCGTCATAGATGTGATGACATCGAAGAGGAATAGCGGTGAAGAGAAAGTGGATAAATCGCTAAATCGTCTCAGCCAAAGGGACCAAAGTGAAGGAATCCATTCCTATTTTTTAAGTGACATTCTGACCAGGGAGACGACCCCCGACTTGAGTTTTTACTATAACTGTAACAACATTGACTATAACTTTTTGCCGATTCAAAATTGTAAAAACAGGTGTAACATGAATGAGGAGGATGACTTAGTGTGCGTACGTCCGTACACCGATGAGGAACACCACCTACAGTGCGATAATTTACTGACGCTTAAGGATAGTAGCAAAGCGGGGAGAGAGCCAAGTGAGAGATTGTCAAACAGCACGGATGATTATTCCAGCGAGGGAGGTGACCGTGTGTATAAATTTAATTTGGACAGTGCATTATCCCACCGGAGTAGTAGCCAAAAGGGATGGCTTCAAAGCGGCAGTAACGGCGCCACCAGCGTGGAGCAGCCGAATACGGTCAATGAACTGTACGCATCCTCCACCAACATGAGTAGCAATAACACGTATAGAGACACAGACGGAAAGTGCCATTCAAACCATTCGTGGGCATATGTGTCCAACGAGAAGCACGAAATGGGGGAAGACTTCATATGTTCATACAATAGGAATGAAACGTTGAACGCGAGGAAATATTTTCTAGAGAGTAATAAAACGTCTAGGAAAGACGAAAATAATTTAAAAAGCGGGGAAGAATCACGGGGAAGTAGCTCCGCTGGGGACAGCGAAGACGGCCTGGACGTGGATGACGAAGAGGAAAATGTCCCCACGAATAATGGCGCGATGAGCCGTGCTACGAAT